CAAAATTTAAATTTGATGTCAACTTTGGTGAACCGTTGGAGATGGTATTATAGAGACATCTCAAATCTTTCACCAAATTTAAAATTAATAAAAAATTTGATGAAATAAAATCCAATCTATTCATCAAACTTCAAACTTACATCAAATCAAGTTCTCATAAAAAAAATTTCATCAAAAGGGATGAATCAAATTTTGAATCAAATGAGCAACAACCATCTTTTACTTAAATTTGATGTTCTTATCAAGGGTTGTAGATTAGTTTTTGAGTTTTCTAAAAACACTTTTCAGAAAATTCTATTTTCTTATTTTCCGTATATTTTTTGTTTTTATTGAATTTTTTTAATATTTTAAGCAATTTTTTTTTTTAAATTTTTAGACACACCTAACATAAATACATTTAAAAATATAATTTTCATAAAAAAAATCTTTAAAAAATTCACTAAGAATAAAAAATACAACAACAACAAAAAAAAATTGGTATATTTTTTGTCTTTTTGTGTATTTATTAATTTTTTGAAATATTTTATCACAAATGTTTTACTTTTTAGATACATCTAAGTAAGGTGCATCTAAAAAAGTTAAAAAAATGCTTAAAATTTTAAAAAATTTCACTAAAAAAAATAAGAAAAAAAAATCAATTTTCAAAAAATTGAATTCAAAAAACTGAAATCAAACATTGAATTATTACTATTTTTTTTTTATCGACAAATGTTAGTTATTAGTTGTTAGATTAGTATTTATGAGTGAAAATCTCTTCACCTTAACAAAGCACTTAAATGCTTGCATACCTTTAATTCAACCCTCCTAAGAAGAATTGAACTCATGACCTACTGAATTATTACTATTGCAGTCAGCTATATAAGTTTTTGATATAAATTGTCGAACAAAGTTGATAATGAAGGAATCAAAGATTTTTTTCATTTTTTTTCTTAACTTCAAAGTTTGCACACACTATTGAATCACCTCAAATTTTCAGCAATTCGATACACATTAATTTGACATTAAAGTTGAAAATTTACTCAAAACATTTTTTATATTTTTAATTTCTGAATACCTGTTTAGAATCTCCAAGAAGATTAACAAGGGCCGAATAGCGATCCTCCATGGCAGCCCTTTTCCCTCTCTTACAATAGACAAAATAACCATCACCCTGAAACTCCACCTCATTCAACAACCCATCCACCACAGCCGCCGGAAAATTCAACGAAGGCGTTGGAATGTTGATCCTCGCTGGCCTCTTCCTGTTCAAAAGAGTCGGCGAAGTAGAAGAAGAAAAAGAAACCAGACCATCATTCAGCGGGCTGTGCAGCGGTAGCGTTAGAGGTGATAACAGACACGCCGGAGACGATGATGAATTTGATGGCGTTGACGATGGTGATGATGATCCATGGTGGAGGTTTAGGGTTAGAGGAGAAGAATTGGAGGGTTTGCACAACAATGGAGAAACCATGGCTGATGGTGAGAATATAGGGGAGTTTGGTATTGGTATTGCTGCTGCTGCCGCCGAAGGCATCTTGTTCTCGCAATCTATTTTTGCTGACCAATTTTTTATTAGAGAGAGAGAGAGAGAGAGAGAGAGAGAGAGATTGTTTGAGAGCATGGAGTACGGGGCCGTCTATTTATATACAAAACATTTGATTCGGTATTCCTTCTTCAGAAGATTTCTTACCAATTCTGCAAGCAATGACGTAGACCTGTCAAACAACTTGCTACTTCATAAACGAACTATTATTTGGTTTGAGTTTTTTGAATTAAATTTTTAAAAAATTATTTTTTTAGTTTTTTAGTTTTTTTATTTTTAGTGAATATTTTTTAAATTTTAAATATTTTTTAAATTTTTTTAAATGTACCTTACTTAGATGTATCTAAAAATTAAAAAAAATTGTGAAAAAATTAATAAATATATAAAAATACAAAAAAATATTAAATTCTTGTATTTTTTATATTTTTTTCATTTTGTGAATTTTTAAAAGATTTTTTTTATAATTTTTTTACTTTTTAAGTATATTTATGTTAGGTATATTTTAAAAGTAAAATAATTACTTAAACAATAATGATTTAGACCACTAAAAAATATATCACTAATAGCACTAATACATTGGAAATGACAAAAAAAAATAATAAAAAAATAAAAACAAGGCATAGAAAGTGGGCGGGGCCCACTGCCACATTATTAGTGCTCCTTTTAGTGATTCCCTTTTAGTGCTCCCAAGCATTTTTCTTACTTAAAATATTAAAAAAATTTAGTAAAAATAAAAAAAATATAAAAAATAAGAAAATAAAATACATTTTTCATATTTTTATATATTTATTAATTTTTAAAATATCTTTTCACAAATATTTTACTATTTAGATACATCTAAGTAAAGTAAAGACAAATATTTTTAACTCTTTCTTTGTAATATATATATATATATATATTAGCTTAAAAGGTTTATTTTAACTTATGCCAAATAAAAACTTTGTCTAATATATATTCGCTAAAAAATCTTATTTTAACTTATGCCAAATAAAGACTTTGTCTAATATGTAGTTATATATATATACTTCTTTTGAAATAAACTAAATATGATTTTTTGACTAAAATAATTACAAAAAAACAAAATAAATGGGACTTTTTAATTTTAAATTAAAATAATCAAAAACAATTATAAAACTAAAAAATTAACTCACATTCCAAACCAATCCAAATTTATTTTACACAATCTTTGTGGTGCAGTACAGAGTACGGCGTCGTCTATTTATATTAAAATTGGGGTGTCAAAAAAAAAAAAAGAAAAGAAAAGAAAATTTGATTCGGTATTCCTTCGTTAGAAGATTGCTTACCAATTCTGTAAGTAATGACGTAGACCAGTGAATCAACTTGCTATTTCATAAACAAACTACTCAGCGGCCAATTGGGAAGGTTTGTTGCATCCGTTTGAGAAGTGGGTTAGTTTTTTTGATTTTTTTTGTTTTTTTTTGGTTATTTTAGCTTAGATTAAAAAGTTTGGTTTGAAAAGTGTTTTTTGATTTTTTTTATTTTTTTGACTTTTTTTTGTAAGAGAATAGTATAATAATTATGGGTTGAATGTGATGTTTTATTTATTGTGGTTAAAATAACCTATTTTGTCTTTTGTGACTAAAATAGCCACAAAAACTCTTGCCAAACTATATAGAATTTATTCTTATATATATTAGGCTTTGATTTTTTTAAATATATTAAGTATTGTCATGGTTAGATTTCTTATAGAATACTTTTTCTTATAATTAGATTTCTAATAGGATACTTTTTCTCAATTTATATATTCATGCCTTCTATTGTATAAAAAAAATTCATTCAATACAATTCATTCAATGCAACACTTATTATTTTTTTTCTCTCTACTATTCTAACTCTTTCTACTATTCTAACCGGGAACATAATAAAAAAGTTGTAATCTAATTATATGTTAATTAATGCTGTCTTTGTAATATATATATATATATATATGAGTCAAAAAATCTTATTTTAACTTATGCTAAACAAAGACTTTGACCTCGTTTAAAAAAGTCACTAAAAAAAAAAAATTAAAAAGCCAACAACTTATACTAAAAAGTTAAAAATTCTATTTTCTCTCTACATTTTGCACATCTTTTCGTAAAAAGTCAAAAAGTCATCCCAAACATATTAATTTTTTTTACATCACATTTTAATCAAAAAGTCAAAAAAATTACTAAAAAAACATATTTCCAAATGAGGCCTTTGTCTAATATGTAGTTATAATGTCACATTCAAATCATAATTATTTCATTTTTTTCTCTTATAAAAGTCAAAAAACTTATTATAAATAAGATTTTTTAATTCCAAATTAAAATAATTAAAAAAATTATAAAACTAAAAAATTAACCTCCATCCCAAACAAATCCAAGTTTCATTTTACACAATGAAAAATGCAGCAGACCTCCACCCCCAAGTGACCCCCAATGACCCCTAGCCCCACGTAGCTATGGGTAGGAATGGCAACGGGGCGGGGCTGTTAGGCATGGCAACGGGGCGGGGCGAGGCCGGGGATGACCCTCCCCATCCCCAATCCCCGACAGTAACAAAATCCTCGGCACCGCCCCCGATCCCCAGCGAGGAACCCTTCACCTCCCCCGTCCCCTAACAGGGATCGGGTTTTCCCGACCTTGAAATATCCCCGACCTTTTTTTTTTTTTTAATTTTATTTTGTTCAACACAACACAAGAATTAATCTGTTCTCATCATCATCATCAACAACAACAAAAAAAAAATTAATCTGTTCTCATCATCAATATCAACATCAACAATCATCATGAACAACAATCATCAACTTTGAAAAAAAAAAAAATCTGAAATTGAAGAAATCTGAGTAAAAAAATCTGAAATCAACAACGCAGCGATCAACAACACAGCGATCTAAGTAAAAATCTATTCTCATCGTTACGTACGCTGCCTCCGACGCCACCTGCTTCCCCCTGTACACGATCGGAGACTGCGAGACCGCGCCGGAGACTACGACACAGTCCCTTTGTTACCGCTGCTGCTCGATCTACTGAAAGAGAGAGAGGGAAGAGAGAAACCGAGAGAGAAGATGGAAAGAGAGAGAGAGAGAGAGATAGAAGATGGAGGCGAAACTCTAAGGTCTTACCAGCAGCGGCGGTGAGGGAGGAGGATCTGTGACGTCCGAGCGGCGGTGAGGGAGGATCGGGAGTGAGGAACGATCGGTGGTGACGGGGGATCGGCGCTGCCGTCGTTGTGTGTGTGTGTGTGAGAGAGAGAGAGAGAGAGAGAGAGAGAGAGAGCGCTAGAGCAGAGACGACTCTGTCTGTGTTGTGTTTGTGTTGAGTGTGTGTGTGTGTGGTCAAACTAATCCCTACACACACACACACACAAACACATATGTTACATATAAGGAGGGGCAAAAGAGTAATTTCACATCGGGGGACAACCGGGCCAGGGATCGGGGCCAGGTCTAGGGCTGAAACATGTATCCCCGTCCCCGGCCCGAATATCATCGGGGATTTAATTTTTAATACCATTTCCGGCCTGTCGAAAGTATTTTTCGGAGAATAACCGCTCAATTCGGGGTCGGAGAATTGAGTCCCCGTCGGGCCGAGTTTCGATTGCCATCTTTAGCTGTGGGTGATTGAAAAAAGAAAAAAATTAAAATTGGCCAATGAAAAAAAACTGGAGGTGCTGGGGGTGCCCCCATTGAGGGTCCCTAGCACTGTTGTTACACAATCTTTGTGGTGCAGTACAGAGTACGGCGTCGTCTATTAAGGGGTTGTTTGGGGTGTCCTAAATAAGTGCACTTTTTATCTTTTTAGACTAAAAAGTTGAGGTTGAAAATATGAATGTTTGGGTTAACTTTTTATCTTCTTCTACATTGTGTCAGCCACCAGGGCCCTCACCATTGTGATTTTTCAGAGTATCTTCAACTCTCCCTAGCAACAATTGCAGGTAAAAATCTGCTGTATCACTCTCACTCACTCAGTCTCTGCTTGTGTCTCCCTCTCACTGTCAATGTTTGTGTTGATGTTTGCTGCTGG